AAACTGGACATGAGGAGGGGTAAAGAAGGGCAAGGGTTGGGGGAAAGAGAGCTTAGGGGAGTAGGAGATGCCAGCTGGATCAAGAACAGAGAGGGAGTACAAGAAAAGAAGGACCATGATAAATGAAGACCCCATGGGAACAGGAAGAAGCAAAGTGCTAGAGAGGTCCCCAGAAATACACAAAAATAACTCCACAATAGACTACTGGCAATGATCAAGAGAAAGCCTGAACTGACCGGATGGCCAAACACCCTAACTGTCATTATAGAACTATCATCCAATGACTGATGAAAGTAGATGCAGAGATCCATGGCCAGGCCCCAGGTGGAGCTCCAGGAGTCCAATATGTGAGAAAGAGGAGGGATTTTTTGAGCGAGAGTTGTTGAGACCATGATTGGAAAAAGCACAGGGACAAAAAGCCAAACGAATGGAAACACATGAACTATGAACCAATAGCTGAAGAGCCCCAACTGGATCAGGCTCTCTAGATAAGTGAGACAGTTGATTAGCTTCAACTGTTTGGGAGGCTCCCAGGCAGTGGATCCAGGACCTGTCCTTAGTGCATGAGCTGGCTTTGTGGAGCCTGGGTCCTATGCTGGGACACTTTGCCCAGTCTGGGTGAAGGGAGGAGGGGACTGGACCTGCCTGGACTGAATCTACAAGGCTGAGCTAAATCCCCAGGGGAGACCTTGCCCTGGAGGAGGTGGGAATGGGGGGTGGATTTTGGAGAATGCCGGGGGGGGGCAGGAGTAGTGAAGACAGGGGAATCCGTGGCTGATATGTAAAATTAAATTAAATTATAAAATTAAAAATATTAATTAAAAAAAGAAGAAAAAGAAAAAAAAAGAAAAGCAACAAACATGTCTGCTCCAATATAGGAGTATTAACACTCTCATATAACATCTAGAATTGACACTGTGACTGAAATTGGATTTGTAGTGGTCAGTGATTATTACCGCTTTATACATGGTTGTACATTTTCTACTGAGTGCCAGATATAATCAGCTTGGTTTCAGCATCGTGCACAAAATTCTTTCATTCTGAACACCATAATCACTTTCAATGCCACTAAGTTTAACCCAAGGGTAAGGATATCTGATAAAAGAGGTCCACATCTGTTTCATTCTCAGTACCACAGTGAGGTGCACAAAATGAAACTGCACAGAACAGCCTACACACTTCTGTGCACATTGTTGTTTCTACCACTTCTCACTCTGGTGTAGATGCGCTCATGTAGTAATATTTCCTCATTTGATTTGAATTTGTTTAAGTTATTTCTACACAATAATGTATGCTAACTAAGGAATCGTAACTTTTAAAGAGGGATGCAGTAAGAAGGGGAGAGAAGGAGAGAAAATAATTTATGACTGCACAAAGTAATTAACATCAATAATAAATCAGTACATAGTTAATAAAAGACCAAAAAAAAAAAAAAAACCAACCCAACAACATAGCATTATTCCACATTAAGAGGATTGACTTGTCCATTACAAGCATGTAAAGAGAGACTAACTTGGGCTGTGGTTCAATGATAGCATTCACAGACTCTAGGTTCAATCTGCTGTTTCCACAAAGAAAGATGAATATCAAGGTAAGTATCTAATAATAGAAATTAGAATACAGAGTCATAGCTCACTCCCACATTGTAACAATTCATTGGATCTAATTAAAAAGTTCTTTAACTTGTAGGGGAAGATTCTTGTTTCCTACAATTTTCCCTATTCAAATTTCTTGACATTTTGCTAATTTCTCTAATTACTCATTGACATTATGCCTATGATTCTATAATTATGCAACACTGTTACCGATAATAAAGGGAATGAAGGCTGCAAATGTTTTAGTGTTTCTTGTCTTAAATGTATGATACTCTTTGAGGTAAAGTTATTTATGTAGTACATATTGTATATACTTTCTATCTAATTGAAGAAGGACAACACCATTGGCAAAACGACAACATTTGATCATCAAAGACACTACATTTACTTAATGTTTTCTTATCTGATATACAATTGTTTATTTTGATGATTTAAACAACAGTCTGGTTTCTGTGTTTGTCTAGTTATAAGGATAAAATGTGTTCAAATATATATCTCATATTTATCAGATGAAAATCAATTTTTGATGTGTAAGTGTGTGTGTGTTTGTGTTGATGTAATTTGTGTTTATACTTGTGAATTCATATTCTGTAGTCCAAAGAGCAACCTTAGGTCTTCAGGTTCTGTCCATCTTGTGTTTTTGAGATGTGATCTCAAAAGCCCGAAGTTAACCACGGAGGCTAGGATGACTGTCCAGGAAGCCTCAGGCTCCCCCTGCCTCTACTTCACCAGCAGTGAAAAAGTGGCAAAGCACCATGCATGACTTAAAATGTTGATTCTGGGGATAGAACCCAAGTCCTCGTGATTACAATGCTGAGCCATCTTGCTGGCTGGAAAGTGAATTATTAATGCCTGTGCTTTGTTTTCTTGACTACAATGAGATTTTGTCAAATCTGGCTTTCCATGTGTTTTCAGCTCAATTAATATTATTAGTAGTATATGCAATATAAAAAACTTGCCATCAATTTAACCCACTCATATATTATATTCATTTGGTATATCCAGGGTATTTTTTTCAACCCAATGCTCTGGATTTAGACAAACATGTACCATGTTCTGTCAAAAGTTTTAACTGTCATCACTATTGTTTCTATTTTTATCCCTATGGATCTATCATATAGAGCAAAGGTAAATTGACCAAAGACAATCCAAATAAACACTTATTTTGTGCCTATGCTGTAATGCTGTGGGGAGTTACTGTTGAAGTCTCCTGCGTTCCTTTGATTATGTGCACATTATTTGTGATATACCTTTAGTTTGTCCCATCAAGAGCATGAAACTAGGGCCTGATAAGGTGACTCTGTCGGTTAGTAAATTGTTTGCCTTAAAATGTGATGACTTGTGTTTGATCTGTAGAAATCATATGAGAAGGTCACATATAGTGACCACACATAGAATTGCCATGCTGGAGAGATGGAGACATCAGGATTTCTGGATCTCACTGTCTAGACCCTTCTCAACCTGTGAGTCATGGACCTCTTTGTGGGTTGCATATCAGATATCCTGCATATCAGATGTTTACATTGCTATTCATAAGAGTAGCAAAATTACACTTAAGATGTATCAATAAAATAATTGTATGATTAATGTATTTGGGGTTCACCACAACATGTGGAACTGTATTAAAGTGTTGCAGCATTAGGAAGGTTGAGAACCACTGGTATAGCCTAATTGGTGAGATTCAAGATGATGAGAGACCCTGTTACAAAGTGGGCTGATAGATTTTCTGAGAAATGAAGCTTGATGTTGACCTCAAGCCTGCAAAAATACAGAGATATATTTGTGAATGTACCTGCACACATATGTACTCTTGCACAAACATGATCTCACTCTGATACACACACATTCTCTCTCTCTCTCTCTCTCTCTCTCTCTCTCTCTCTCTCTCTCGATAAACCTAAACCTGCTTCCCAGATATGAAACTGTTTTTTAAAAGCAAACTATTTTCAGCAAATGAGCTCACTACAATTAATGGTTTACAACTGTAAATTTAGAATTAAAAGACAAAAACAAAAACCTTCATTGTTCGAATACAGGATCATGATAATGACATTTTCTTAACTAGAATAAGGCTGTTTTAAACCATTGGAAATGGTTTTTAATTTGTTCAACAAGACCTTTTTAAATGTGTATACTGTGGGGTGACAATGACAGCTACTTTATTACATACCCCCAAAATGTGAGTGTATTAGTTACTTTTCTGTTGCTGTGATAAAATATCCTGATTGAAAAAAAAAAAAAAACAACAACAACTTAATGAAGAAAGGATTTATTTTTAGATTACAGTTCCACAAGGGTAGAATCCATCAATCCTTCTCCAGGATGGAGAAGGCCTGGTAGCTGAAGCAGAAAGTAAAGAGATCACATTTCATTCATACACAGAAAGAAATTGGAATGAGCTTATGAACCCTCACAGGCCATCTCTATTGATATACTTCCCCAAGCAAGCCTTTTGCTATAATTAAAATGGGCTTCCACATACTGTTTTTGTAGATAAGCAGTATATATTAATGACAATTACACAAATCTCAAAAGCATTACAAGTCCCATTATTTGGGGAGAATAAAAGATGAGAGGAAAAACGCCAATTACTTCTTTTTCTTCAAATTGCTCACACAAAGTTCATACCCATTTTCTCTGTTGACAAGGCTTAATAGTTTGCTGAGATTAATGGGCTAAAAAGTCCTCGCTTTAGGGAAGGGAGAGAAATCATAGAAGCATAACAGAATTATGGAAGGAAAGACTGAAAATTTGTAGAAGTCATAAATTAGTTTGAAATACAGGGTTAGCAGAGGTTAGATATTGAATTCAAGTCAAAAAAGAAAAAAAATATTTCTATTTACACTTAATCTGAAAAACATGAAGCTTCAAGTGTTGGCATCTTTATAATCAAATCCTTTGCTTTTGTAATCTGGCCAGGGTATTGGGTATGAACAGCCAACTTGTGACTATCAAAGCAGACAGAGCAAAACTACCCAGGAAATTAACTGAAGAGTCTAGAGGTTCATAATAATTAATAGGTCACTGTGTTTGTATTTTTAGGAAAATTTAAGATATTAATAAATTGTGAAGGGTTCACTAGGAGCCAGCTTACTTATATTAGCATATTTTATTTTTTGTCTTACTATATTTTATTTTTATCCCATTAGTCTATTTTCATGGCTAACATAGTTCTGTTTTAATTAAAACACCAAGCTACATATATTATACTCAGTAGCTGTTTTAGAAACATCCTCAGAATTATTGTGGAAGCGATTAAGTTGAACAAAAGGAGTATGATCATGGCACTAATGATAAGATCCCTGAACCAAAGCAAAATGTAGCTACTACCAGCAAATTTTAACTATGGAATATTTTTGTTAATAAAACATATATGTTCCCTCAGAACTGTGTCACTAATCTTACCTTAAGAAAGAAGTTGTCATAATCTGTCCTGTATAAAAATTCTTGTCACCCTGGAATAAAGAAAATTCAATATTACTACTGTAGTTCTGTAACTCATCATTTATTTTCAAAAAATGAACAGGAGTCAGAGACAGACCCTTCTCCCACTGTTAAGAGTCCCACAAGAAGACCAAGCTATACAACTGTTAGATATATGCAGAGGATCTAGATCTGACTGGCTTTGGGGATGTTATTCCTTATACTGGGTTGCCTTGCTCAGCCCTAATACTAGGCAATGTACTTTGTGTTAAACTTGATATACCATGTTTTGTTGATATCCATGGAAGGTCTGCCTTTTTCTGAGTAGAAACAGAGAGGATTGTATGGGGGAGGTGGTAGAAGGGATGTGAGGAAGGGGGACTGGGAGGAGAGAAGGGAGAGGAAACAGAAGTCAGGATGTAAAAAAAAAGGAATAATTAAAAGTTGAACAAGATTTTATCACATTTGCTATTTTCATGAAACTGAATTATCCTTATATTTACTGCATTTTATAAACAGACAAACACTACAGAATACATTTAGCATAATTTATTATATGTATAACTCTTTGTTTAATTAAACTATGAATTAAAAGTTATCAAATAAAATTTCAAACTCTGTGCAATATAGCACATTACAAAGGTAACATATATAATTATCTTTTAACATAATTGATTTTATACTAAGCAATGAATTATACATTACAATATTTCACTTATGTTCTGGGCTATTTTCTCTATGAAAGTAATTTTAGTCTATAGTACTGAGTTTCTCCTCAACTAAAAGCGCATAGGGTAGTTTGCTACAAATTTATCCATGTTATTGATTTTTCCATCATCTATAAGGGCTTACAACATTCACGAGATTGTTCCTGCTACAACATTATAAATTCATTGCCTGGAACACAGTTTGCTATTGAATGTCTGCCAGACTATGTTAACAAGGGTATTCACAGCAAAACCAATGCTGTAATACAGTGAAAATGTGAAACAAATTCTGTAAAGATTGTTTCTTTCCAAAGTCATTTGCATTTAACCAACCAAAGGAAGAATAGGAAATACAGTATTACTTATCACTAATGCTTTCTTGTATACATAAAAGTACCTTTTATATTATTCCTACTCACAAATTCACTACTATTCTGGTGGCCCTGAATTACTAATATATCTCCAAGGAGGAGCAATAATGCTGTTTTCTTGAATACAACCCCAAGTAAACATTAATTTGTTAAGGCCACAATCGTTTGTAGAAACCCACATGCTATTAGCTCAGATATCTTCAATGGCTAAATTATTACTACAGAGATTGTCAAAAGTATTAAGAAGAAGAGTAATTATAATATCTTTACTTTCCTTGATTTTTGATATTTAGAAATGATTTGACTTTGTAAATGTTGTCTTTTATTTGTGCATATGTGCACGTGTGTGTAGAGTTATGTGTATATGAGTGTGGGTATCTATGGAACTGAATTTACATGAGTTATGAGCCTCCCAACCAGGTGAAGAGAGCTACACTTAGATCCTCTGCAAGAGCAGCAATTACTCTTAGCCACTGAGCCATCTCTTTCAATATTGAGTGATTGTAATATTGAGTAATAAGCCTGAGCCATTGGCCAAACATCTATAAGTAATATTAAGCCTCCAAGTCAATTATTTGGGAAGTGGCTGCCAGGTATTTGGGAGTTGTTGGCAGTACAGAAACTTCTGCCTACAAATAGTAGTTTTGAAAGTCCAAGCAGAGATACAGGAGAAGGGCAGAGTCTGGGAGATGCCCACCAGCTGCCCAAGGAGCAACATGCCAACAGACTTGTAATGCTATGGACATGTGGCAATACATAGATTAATAGAAATGGGTTAATTTAAGATGTAAGAACTAGCTAGTAATAAGTCTGAGCCATCAGCCAAACATTTGTAAGTAATATTAAACCTCCGATTAATTATTTGGGAAGTAGCTCCCACATATTTTGGAGTTGCTGAAGGGATAGAACCCCTGCCTACAAATAGTAGTTTTGGAGCTTATATTATTTAGCATGTAAAACCTTTTTCAACATTTCAACGAATTATTACATATATTTATTGGGATTATGTGATAATTTAATATATGCATGTAATACATAATGATTAAATTAGGATACTTAATACAGGCAGGTCAAATATTTTCATTTCTTTTGTGTAGAGGGCATTTAAAATCCTCTCTACAAATTTTTTTTTAAACATACAATTAGGTGCTTGCAACTATAGTCATACAGACAAACATGCAAAATGAGATACAAAAATGTGTTAGTATCTTAATATTAAATATTTAGCCAATCCTATTCTACTAAACCACATATCCTTTAACTATCTATCTCCTCTCCTCTCACCTCTGGCGAATACTGTTCTAATTTCAAATCTACAGATGAGTGCTTTTCATTTCCACACAGAATAAAACATTTTTGTCCTTCTGTGCCTCACATATTTAACGGAGTATTCTTCAGTTCTCTCATGCTGTTGGGAAATATAGACTTGTATTCTATTTATGACAAAGTAAGCAGCATTTGTGTGTATCTTATAAAATCCATGTATCAGTGTATCCAACAGAAAAGTAACCTCTGCCTATTTCATTTCTGGACTTTTAAAAACAGTGTTGTAATAAATTTAGAAATACAGATCCATTTCCCTTGTTTTTACTCTATCTTTCTTCCATAAGCATTCATCAGTATAGCTATTAGATTATATGGTAGTTCCTGTTGAATTGTTATAGAAAACTTCATATTGATTTTCAAGGAGACTACCAAGAGTTTAGGAGAGTTTCCTCTTCTGATTCTCTTTGCTGTCTTTTTTTTTTTTTTTTTTTTTTTTTTTTGGTTTTTCGAGACAGGGTTTCTCTGTGTAGCTTTGCGTCTTTCCTGGGACTCACTTGGTAGCCCAGGCTGGCCTCGAACTCACAGAGATCCGCCTGTCTCTGCCTCCCGAGTGCTGGGATTAAAGGCGTGCGCCACCACCGCCCGGCTTTTGCTGTCTTTTTGATTGCAGACATTCAATTTGAGTGTCATTTCCTAGTGGTCTTAATTGTCACCTCTTGGATGATTAATGATGGCAAACATTTAAATATGCACTGCTGACATTTGCACACTTCCCTTTTTGAGAAATGCTTATTCAGATTCATGCCCTGGTTGAAGTTGGATTATGTGTTCTTTTATGATTGAGTTGGCCAAGATCCTTCTACAGTTAAGCAATTAATTCTTCTTTTTAGATGAATATTTTAAGTAGGGTCTTCTACTCTATCTGTTGTTTCTACATTATATTAAAAATATATACAAAAGGTTTTAATGAATTTGTTATAATCTCACTTGACAATTTTTTGCTTTTGTTGTCTCTGATCTAGGGTCTTAAATAATTGCCCAGATCACCGTGAAAAAAGTCTGAATCTTGATTACTTCCATTACTTTCAAGTGTTACTTTTTGTTTTGGTCCATTTTTTTTTTTTTTTTTTTTTTTTTGGTTTTTCGAGACAGGGTTTCTCTGTGTAGTTTTGCGCCTTTCCTGGGACTCACTTGGTAGCCCAGGCTGGCCTCGAACTCACAGAGATCCGCCTGGCTCTGCCTCCCGAGTGCTGGGATTAAAGGCGTGCGCCACCACCGCCCGGCTTGGTCCATGTTTTTTAATTGATGTTTTATGTGGTGAGGTAGGAATCCAATTTCATGCCTCTACTTGTGGTGGAAATGTAGTCATTCCAGAATTATAGCTGAGGAGCCCCCATGGAACTGGACTGGGACCTCTGGATAAGTGAGACAGTTGTTTGGCTTGAACTGCTTAGGGGGTCCCCAGGCAGTGGGACCGGGATCTGTCCTTGGTGCATGAGCTGGCTTTGGAATTTAGGGCCTATGCTGAGAGACTTTGCTCAGCCTTGGTGTAGGGAGGAGGGGACTGGACCTGCCTCAATTGAATCTACAAGGCTCTGCTGACTACCCAGGGGAGACCTTTCCTTGGAGGTGGAAATCGGGGGTGAGTTGGGGGGAAGACTGGGGGTTAGAGGAGGGAGGACAGGGGAATCCATGGTTGATATGTAAAATGAATAGAAAATCTCTTAACAAAAAGAGAAAACAAAACAAAAACAAAAACAAACAAAAAAGGAAAAAAATTATTTCTTATAATTTCAATTCCAGTTGTTTTTATTTTAAATCCGTTGGCTATGAATATGTAGATTCATTTCTTGATTCTATATCCCATTTTTGATCTGCTTGTCCATTTTTATGCAGTACTGTTATGTCTATGTAATTATAGATACATATGATAAGTATGATAGGGCTTCCACCATTTCTCTTATTGCTCAGGATTCTTTGTCTATACAGGATCTTGTATGGTTCCACAGTACTTTAGGATTATAGTTCTGTTCTGCTAAAGTGTCACTGACATTTTGGTGAGCTTACATTCAATATGCAGGTTGCTTGGATAGCATGGAAATCTAAATATTATTTATTTTTCAAATTCATAAACATGGAATATTTCCATTTTGTCTGACTCTTTTCTTTTTTCTTTTTATTTATTCTTCTCTCACACAATATACTCTGACTACAGCCTTCCCTCCCTCCCCTCTCTCCACACCCTCCCCCATCTCCACTCTCTCCCAGATCCTTCCTCCTCCATTTCCCTTCAGAAAAGAGAAGGCCTTCCAGGAATATCAACTGAACACGCTTATAAAGACTAGACACAAACCCTCATAGCAAGGCTGAACAAAGCACCTCGGTAGTAGGAAAAGTCTCTCAAGAGCAGGCAAAAGAGTCTAAGACACTCCCACCACCACTATTAGGACTCCCACCAAAACAGTGACTTAACAGTTCATGATAGAAATCATTCACTCCTTGTTAAATTTATTCTCAGGTACTAATTTTTGTGTCTTTGGTAAATGTTGTTTCTTTCTTGGTTTCTCTTCTTCAGTTACTTCATTACTGGTGTATAGAAACAGTGCTTGTTTGATGTGTTGATTTTTTTCTTTCAACATAACTTAGTTTTCCAACTCTAAAAACATTTTAGTAGTATAGGATGTTACC